TAATTACACACTTGTTTCACAGTTTTATTATTGCCAACCACCACAAACCAGGGATGTCCCAGTTTTTTATTTTGAAAATCTGGTCACCCTGCCTAGAATACCTTTAGTCAACTACAATGTCTATCATTTTAGCTGTGATTATACGAGCTGCAGCAACAAAATCATTTCCTATCCATGTGTCTATCTATTTGTCTGTCCAGGATCACAGCAGCCTGTCAGAGCGCCCCAAACTCCTCTTGGTCTCCTTCGATGGTTTCCGCTGGGACTACATCGACCGGGTCCCCACTCCAAACTTCCACGCGCTCATGAAAGAAGGAGTCCAGGTGGAGCAGGTTCAGAACATCTACATCACCAAAACCTTTCCCAACCACTACAGCCTCGTGACCGGCCTGTACGCCGAAACGCACGGCGTCGTAGCCAACGAAATGTACGACCCCGCCTTGAACCTGTCCTTCTCCATGGAAACGGACAGCGTCTACGATCCGAGATGGTGGGACGGAGCTGTTCCTCTCTGGGTGTCTGTACGGAAAGCGGGAGGGAGGAGCGGAGCGGCGATGTGGCCAGGCTCCGACGTGAAGATCCATGGGACTTACCCGAATCAATACCTGCCCTATAACGCTTCTGTTGACTTTGAGACAAGAGTACAGAGAATCATCGAGTGGTTCTCAGCCCCTAAGGAGGAGGCGGTGGATTTTGGAGTTTTATATTGGGAGGAACCAGATGAAAGTGGACACATGCTCGGTCCGGAAAGCCCTCTCATGGACGGGGTGATCGCGGATATTGACGCGCGCTTGGGGTTTCTGAGGGAGGAGCTGAAGAGGGCGGGGCTCTACGAGGATTTGAATCTGATCGTGACCAGTGACCACGGGATGATGCAGCTGTCCAACGAGAAGATCATCGAACTGGACGAGTACGTCAGCAGAGATCTGTACACGTGGATCGACAAAAGTCCTGTTGTAGGAATAATCCCAAATGAAGGTAGGAAACATCTTAAAGGCCCTTGTTATGCTATTTTCTGATCTAAGTTCTAATGTTGTTTCATCACAAACAGACCTGGAGTTGTGTTTTTGTTTCATTCACACATGTTTAGGCTGAGTTCTTCTCTAAAACTAAAAACACTCTGTTCCAACTTGTGATGTCACGTGGTAATACAATGCTCCACTGTGTTTTTAAACTTCATTCACTGTCACTAGAATTATTTGGATAATTTCAAATCTGGGATTGCCTATTTCTTCTGAACAAAAAGCAAAAAGTAGCTGTAAACTTGAAAACTACCTAAGGCTGTGCAATTAATTAAATTTAGATTGTTTTCAATTTATGTGTCAAACGATCTCCAAACTCAAATAATCGAGTTGAAACGATTAAAGCTTAACAATGTTTATTTTGGGCTATTCTCATATAAATAAGTATATTCGTAAGTTTTTTTTTATTTTATGTTTTTCTGCCTTATTTCATGTTCAAAGTATATTTTATTTATTTTATGTTTTATACATTGCAAAACTGCTCTAAGGTTCAGATTTGTAGCCTATATTTATTTTCAATTTGAAAGTTTTGCATAAATTATTAATAACGTAGTGTTTGTTTTTTTCAGAGAGAGAAATCCTGAATAAATGCATTGTGTAACTAAAAAAAATAATCGTTTGAATAATCAAATCAATGATTTCAATATTGACCAAAATAATTGTGATAAACAGCCCTAAAACTACCACTACATGACATCACAAGGTGGAACAGAGCATTATAAATAAACAGACTAATAATAAAGGGTTACACAAATGTGTGAATTAGAGGTCTGGCAATGAGCTGTCAGAATGTGTCACACTATTTTGCTTCGGGTCTCGCAGGATGTTTGCAGTCTCTAGTGTGAATGAAACAACTCCGGGTGTGTTTTTGAGGATGTAACACTATCAGGCCACCACCTGCTTTCCTCCATGGAGATGGTCCGGAATGTTCCACAGTACGGCATTACACCTTTCTATCATCACAGAGACCAAACTGGGCCAAGTTACAGGTCAGCTCTATGGAGAGGCGACCCCGTTCACAGTCAGAATGCCACCTGTAAATGAAAAAAATGTAAAAGTAGATCTGTTTAATGTCACACTGTGGAACATTCCAAGCAGAGCTATGGCATTTCCATAGAAACAAGAAGGTGACTGACCCATTAGACTGACCCACTACCCAAAAGTTACACAGTGCACTTTTAAAGAAGCTCACAAGAGTCAATTTAGCTTAATTTAGGAGCTTTAAATCGTGTAATCTGATTTGTCTTTTTCATTCTGTAGGGAAGTTTGAGGAGGTGTACACTAAACTCCTGGACGCAAACCCATACATGGCCGTGTATAAGAAGGAAGAGATCCCTGTGCGCTACCATTACCAGCACAATCTCAGGATCATGCCCATTCTCCTGGAGGCGCAGGAGGGCTGGAGCATCATGCAGAACAGAACTGCTCCCTTCATGCGTAAGAATAGAACACACACCTCTCTGATTTTCACTTCAAAGCCCCCAAAATTTTGCAACTTCAACATCCGGCTGGTCTAATAATAACTTCACAGTAGCTTTTTTAGGCTAAAAGTACAGAGATTGTGTCTTGGAGCTGTTATAATTAAGAAAAGAGAGGCTACTGTAGCCTACTTATCTCATGTGAAACAGCAACCGCAGCGTTGAGTGTAGGTGTTTACAGCTTTCTTATTCAGATTGTGTAGCTCTAATGATTAGTTAGACCTCGACCTAGACAGAGGTTATTGATCCACAAGGGAAATTATTTGGACACAGTAGCTCACACATCACAGTATAATATAATAACAAAGAGAAAACATAAATGGTAATAATAGATTCTAAATAAGTTGCAAAAATAGCAAGAGACTGATGTCAAATAATAGGCTGATTCATTAGCCGGTTTCACTTCGTAGAAACCGTCTGACCTTGCATTGTTGGAATTTGTTCGCTCGACTGCTATTTGGTCGTGCTGCTAATGGGTCTAACTGGTATATTAAGCTTTTCCCAAATCCTGTAGGAAAAAGGACAATAACGTCTTTCCCCTTGATAAAATTCACCAAACATTCTCTTTGTTCCGACTTTAAATCCTCAATCTCGGGAATCATTGACAAGACTGAATGTCTGTCTCTTCATTGATTGAATGGAGCCTGGACTCGCACTTCCGGGGTTTTTGTGAACTGTCTAGTGTATTCTGATTCCTGACCTAGTCGCAGGAGAGAAATGAAATTGAGCAGAGGCACTAGGTGGCACCAGCCTGACTAGTCAAATAAGGCATAGTTAAATAAATGTATATGTACAAGTCAAAATAAAATAAATGTAGAAATAAAAAAATAAAAATATACAACAGAACTTAAGGAAAACAGAGATCTCCAGAGATTATATGATTAATTAATTAATCATTGCATTTATATAGCACCTTTCAAGATCCCCAAAGTGCTTTACAGTTCATTATTCATTCGCTCAACACTCAGTGGTGATAAACTACTACTGTAGCCACAGCTGCCCTGGGGCAGACTGACAGAAGCAAGGCTGCCAATCTGCCCCATCGGTCCCTCCGACCACCACCATCACACCACTTTCATACTAGGCAATGTGGGTGAAGTGTCTTGCCTAAGGACACAACAACAGTTTTATCGACTGGCACCCCACTGTGGCACCTGGAATTCCCCATGGTCTCCCATCCAAGTACTGACCAGGCCCAGCCCTGCTGAGCTTCTGAGACCTGATGGGATCAGGCTTTGACAAGCTGGTATGGCCACACAAATGATGATATGATGATTGACAGGACATAGGGTTATCTGTTACATAAGGAAATGCAGCCCTCAAACCACATTTTATTTTATTATTGATTGTAAGCAGTATTTTACAGCAAAGTTTTACTAGTACTTACTAATAAGTGGTAGTAAACTAGTAGGTCTGTCAAAACTATGTAGAGTGCACTCATCTCCATGATGATCCTCTGTACTGACTACTGCTCCGTGGCCTTCACTTCAAATATATGTCAAGATCTGGCCCTTGGTGAAAAAAGTTCCACCCCAGTTCTTTACATTATCAGTGTGAAGAGGATTCTTTGTGAACAGTACTTTTATGTTCCCCAATTCTGTTAAAATAGGCCAAAGTTTGTTTTGTTTTATTAGTCTTCTGCCCAAACAACAAACAGCCCACTGCCAAGAGTCTTTGGTTGTTAAACTGTGGTAACCAAGTTCTCCTGAGAGTTTGTGCTGCAGTGAAAGACTGGCCAAAGTTAGAGGACAAATTCTCCTATGTTGACTATAAAAGTACTTAAACTTTATTATATTATACAGATAAAAGTTGAATGCATTCAGAGAGCTGTTTCCAGTGCTCCCTGTCCAGATAATTACACTGCAGGATGTCTCGTCTCTGATTGAAGGGCTGGGCAGTAAAATCAGCCCGTGTTGTCCGAGGAGAGAAACCTGCTGACGCTGAAGGATCAGGACCTGGCTGGTCTGTGTCGATGGCTCTTAATGCACTTCTGTGGGAGATGGTGATAAAAATAATGTTCACAGGGCAACATGGAGAGGAAGTACAAGTAAGAATAGGCCTTTCTTGAATGCAGTAACCTTCAAGTGTTAAGACAATTTCAAAAACTGCACTATTTTACTATTACACATTTAATAGCAGTGTCCCAAAATAATATTTAATACACTGTTTTTCTAGTGTCCTTAGATGAATTAACCCTTCACAGAAAGATAGATTTTTGTGATATTTGTAATTTCACAAACTCATGAGAATCCATCTTTGAGTTCAGTCATTGCACGGTTAATTGGGAGGGCGACCAATCACATCGCAGCACTGAAGTCTGCCAAAAGGTGAAGTACTTCAGACATCAATACGGACTATTTTATTTGTGAAAAATGTGCGCAAGTCAACAGGAAAGATGTTTGTGCTTTTCTCTCTGTCGCAAGGACGTCAAACTCAAATTCACAGAGGCCAAAATTAAAAAACTGGGACTAAGTCTTGGGCTAAACTAAATATTTATTGAAAAATTTCAACAACATCTGCATGTTTTCTCTTCTTTCCAGATATGTAATGTTAAACCTTTCTCATTAAAATAAATGTTTGATAATAGTTTTGCTTAAACATTGAGTCCAGAACAAAATAACAAAATTTTAAATAAATAATGTGTCTATAGTCTATCTGTAGGCGGCGGGCAGCTCTAATACATATTTGGTATGATCTTGCGGGCCAAATATAATTTTACTGTGGCCCAAATTTGGCCCCCGAGCCTGAGTCTGACATGTCTGATCTATTGAAGTTTGAAGTTCTGCTGTTGTGATGCTTCATTCAATCAGATTCAAATAATCATGATGATGCTTTGCCTTTTCTCGAACTCTTTCAGTGAGAGCCATTCCAGTTTGATCACGTGTAGAGCTCTATTCAGAGAGACAAAAACTAGAACTAAAAAGTACAAATTTAAGTCACAGAATCATAAAGTTTAAAGTTGGAGTAAAATTATTATGCATTTTATTTAAAAATTGACAGTGATCTTCCCAATCTTCAGTGTAAATGTCACTATCAAACAACCAAGTCTCAAGTAAGTTTCAAGTCTTTGAGCTCAAGTCCAAGTCAAATCCCAAGTCAAATACAGGCAAGTCCAAGTCAAGTCTCGAGTCACTGGCCTATAAGTCCAAATCATTTCTAAGTCGTCTGCTTTGATCTTCAACTCATTTCAAGTCTTTAAACCAAAATACAAAATAGAGGATAGATTTTTGCTGTTTATATGAATTTTAAACTAAATTGTACTTAAAAAGTCATGGAATATTTATATATGAGTATTTATATAAGAGTTGTACAAATGTTAATTTTTTCTTTTTACAGTAAACGTCTTGACAAAATCTTAGTGTGAATCATTACAGTCAGAATAGAAAGAATTAAGATTTAAAAGTGCTTAATAGTTATTTTGTCACGTAGTTCTCTGTAGTTCCCTCTGGTTTACTGTATTCTACTCTATTGTACTGTATATTACTGTATTGTACTCTATTGTACTGTATATTACTGTAGTACTTTTGAGGATACCTTCTCACAGTACTTCAGTTTCATCCAAAGTACCAAACAGAAAATGGGAGGGACATGTTCCAGTTTGTTCCTGTAAAATTCAGCAGCACATTTATCACCTGTAAAGAGAAAAGTATTTTCTAGAAACAATTTTTTTTTTTTGGAGAAACATCAAGTCTTCTCAAGTCACAGGCCTCAAGTCCGAGTCAAGTCCCGAGTCATTCACCTTCAAGTCTAAGTCGAGTCCCAAGTCTTAGTCTATTTTATCAAGTCAAGTCTCGAGTCCAAGTCACGACTTGCAAGCCCCACCTCTGGTAAGACGTACTGTTTACCCAGGGCCCCGTGCAAGGAGGGGCCCCTCAAAAAGTCTGTAATATGCATTTTTCATTACACTTTATGTAGTGTTGATGATTTGTACTTAGGACCCAGAATTTGGTGCAGGTTATTAGCAAAATCTTCTGTCTTAAAATGAGCAACAGTGAATGAGTCAGTGTCATGTTGAGAGTGTTTAGAGTAGCAGGTGGATCAGGGTATAGTTTCTGCTCCGTCTTATCTAACAAATCATTTCACGTCATTTAACTGCGGTGACAAACAGCTGTTATCGAACGACCCGGATATTAAAATGAAAGTATGGATGTTTTGTCTCTGCGAACACGACTTGCGCTGTGAGTGATTTAACAGTGACCAGTGAGCTGAGAAAATGCACTGCCGTAAATCATCAGGGAGAGAGGGCCCTGCCAACAATATAAATCTACTGTAAAACGAAGTGATTCATGAGTGATTGTGTAAAATACTCCAACATCACGTGGGAAGCTATAAGGATACTGTATCAAATGAGAAAAAACGTGTCAAGAGGATTGTGTAAGTGGACAGACGCGACACAAATCGAGGGAATAGCAAACACATTGGTGTAGGGTGTACACGGTGGTGCGTGTGCAGCGAGGGTTGGGTGTGAATGATGAGAGATGTAGTATAAATCCAGTTCTTGTATATCTCCGTTACATCATAAAAACAACTGCATAAAATCAAATTCCTGCAATAATGAAATATACAAACATGAAAATGTCAGGCAAAAGCTCAAAGAAGCACTCTCACCAAATTGAATACATTTTAATTAAATTTTCCTCACAATAACTGGCAGATTTTAAGAAAAACAAATACGCTCTTTGTTTTCCATCTGAGTGGAATGCTTTGGGCAGATGACAGTTTTGGCTGGAGAATGTTTCCTGGAGAGTACTGGCAAAAAACAGAATGTCTCAGATAATGTCACAACATTGTCTACTTTATTCAAATGTCTGGTATGTGTTTAGATATAGGCCTACTGCAGGAATGGACCTTGCCACTAGGCTAATTGAGATCAGATTTACAGTTTGTGCTTTATTTGTTGTAGATATTGCTTATGAGAATAAATACAGAAATACTGGCTCTTGTTGCATCCAAGAGAGAAACATCATATCTGAATAATAATCTGAAAGCATGCATGTTTTAGGACTATTGTTATCATGTGCATATTGCTTGTGTGCTGC